GGGGGGGGGGGGGTCTGCCTGTGCTGCTGACTTCCTGTAAAGCATGCAAGCTTTTCCCATGAGGCAGTTTTAAGCGTATTGACTTGTTTGATCTGCGTACATAAGTGAACGGAGAGGCTAATCACTCAGTCTGTATCGGGACCAGTGACGACAAACGCAGGATGTAAACTCCCGTTAGCCACCACTTCTTTTCCAGGTGGAAAGATGGACGACTTGCTAAAGTGTGACTAAGCTTCTTGGCTCAGATCCCCTCATTACTACCCAAGGCACCCCGTAGTTCTCCCCCTCCTTCTGAAATCTCCCAGTTCTTCCTTCACCCTCCCCGAGCATCTTCCTGTGGAACTGATCCCTGGCTGAGAGCATGTGATTTACTGCGTTCTGCTGCTTGGGGTTGGAGTAAAGACCTGCACCACTGTTGCTCTCTGCACGCCCTCTCAGCTTTGGAGCTGTGGATTGGATGATAAAAYGTTTGGGTGTGCTGCCTTTGTACCCCCGCACAACAGCCCAAATGAACTCCACCTGCATCTGCCTACACCACAGCCCCCCCACCTGCGTCCAACCGTGCCAGCTTTCCTTCAGCTTATCTTAATAACCCTCGGAGCACTACTACCAGTCCTCTCAGCAGCTGCTTTAGTTCGGACGTTTGTACCAGCTAATTTGCGTCTGTTGCGTCCTTTGCAGAAAAGCCGCTGTTCACTCGGGATCCCACTCAGCTGAAAGGCAGTTTTTTGTCCACGTCGCTCCAGAAGAGCAACATGGGCTTCGGCTTCACCATCATCGGAGGCGACGAGCCCGATGAATTCCTGCAGGTCAAAAGTGTTATTCCTGACGGGCCCGCCGCAGCTGATGGAAAGATGGCTACAGGTGAGCTTTGGGCATGCCTGACACATGTAAACTCTCACTTCTACAAACCAAAACACATAAAAATTAATGTAGGAAGAGAGCAGCAAGTGCATTTTTATGAGGCTTTTTTATTTTCCCTATATCTAATCAGCATCTACTTAAAAATAAAGTGAACGTTTAAATAAACAGAACAACTAGCATTTCTTAAAGGAATGTAAATCACCTTATATGACAAAGCCATAACCACAGAGTTTACATGTTATGTTAGCATTGGGTTATGTAATGAGGATGACTCAGCTGCAGGATCTGAATTCTTAAAGATGTCCCGATTCTCCTTTTTAGGGCTTAAAATAAATTTAGTTGAGTCTCAGCTTTTTGCTTATTTATATGAGATATTTGGCCTCATTCATCTAAATGTTAACAGTTAGATGGTTTTAGTAAAAAAATAGAAATCAACTCTATTGATTCTGTTTGTTCTTTGGTTTTTCCATTTCAAAACAAAGCAAGAAAAACAAAATA